CGACTAAATATTTTAATTTTTCCAATTCTTTGATCTCAAATTCTCTATGCAAGAATTGTTTGAGAATTATTTTTCGTTTATCGTTATTTTTCACAATTATATCATCCATATATGTTAAAAAAGCTGTTACTTCTCCTGAATCTTAATGCTTAATAAACAGAGTGTGATCTTCTTAGCTCTGCTTGTATCCTGTTAGATATCATTATTCTTGCAAACCTTCCAAACCATGCTTCGAGAATTGCTTGAGCCTGTAAAGTGCCTTTCTTATTTTATACGATTTATTTGCCCCTACCTCTTTGATAAACCTTATAAGATTTCCGTATAGATTTATTCTTCTAATTTCCCATATAGAAAAATATTCTTTACATTAAACTGTTTTAATTTTCAAATAAAATTTGTAACTAAAGATAGTAGAACGCATTATATTCATTTCCGCACCATGTGAAAAGTTCTCTTGGTAGTGAATTCCGTAAGTTTGGGTATACCTTTTTGCCATCAATTTTGCCTTATATCTCTTTGTAGTTCCATTTGGATTGTACTTTATAGTAAATACCCACTTGCATCCTTCCAGTCTCTTTCCTTTAGGTAGGTCCACTAGTTCCCATGTTGGTTTTTTTTTTTCTTTTTTTTTTTTTTTTTTTTTGTTTTTCTTTTTCTTATCACACTCTTTTCTTCTTTCTTCTTTCCCAAATGACTTATTTAGTTTATCACCTAGTTTCTGATGATTGTTATATAAGTTTTAGGTGATTTAAGAGGTGAAGAGTGGGTGATATTCAAGAGGGTCACTCTCTAACTAAGCTTTATGCTATCTGTGTCGAGTAGGTCATATATTTAGCTTTCCCACTAACTTGTTCTGTTGCATTTACCGCCAAACCATCAGTTTTCAGATTATGGCTTGTATAGTGGTAATAAAAGATCATTGTTGAAGAAAGGAAAAATGAAAAAGCTTGATGTTTATGTGTACAATGATGAATTGATGAAATGAAACAGGACGAATGCTGGTTTCAGTTGAAACGTGCTGGCGTGAATCAGAGAGCAGAAAGGGAAGGCTTAAGTTTAAAAGAGAGATTAAGGACGCTTGAAAAGACAGCATCTGTAATGGCAAGAGCTGTTGTCATGAAAGGAAAACAGATATGTAGAAACAGACATCCCGATTTCGAGTTCTTCGTCTCTAGGAAACCATAGATAGGGAGTTGTTGATGCAGCTGATGTATAATTTTCTCTTTTCCATTTTTATTAGTGAAACTAGTTCCAGTCTTTTGCACGATCCTTTGTTAAAGGAGTGCTTTGTTGTAATGACTGTAAATATTTAGCCAGTTTTTTTGAAGATTTTTTTTTTGGTCCCAGTTCAATCATATAAATTTTGCATGGATAGCTTAATGAATATATAGACCATTAGTAATTTAACAAGACAAAATATATTACCTTCTTAAGATATAAAAATAAAATAATTAGTAATTTTAATTAATTAATAACATAATTTGCTGAAAAATATATTGACCGGTAATTATATAATAATGTACTTGGTCTACATTATTAATGATGAAGTAAACTAAAACCGTAGGGGTAACTTGCATTTTTTCTAACACCTCTAAATATTTTAAAATTAATAACTTCATTAATTTTCATACAAATCATGTAATTTTAATATTTAGAAAATCTTATGATATATAGGTTAGAGCTACATAGTTTTAGTGGCGGAGATTTAACCAGAAAAACCACAAAAATGGCTTGAAACTCCACTGCTATGCAGTTTTTGGTTTTCTGCAATCTTTAAGTCTTTCAGAATTCAGATTTTCTTTAATTTTTATCCAAATCATGCAGTTTTCTGTTTATGGAAAATATATAAAGTATATACTATAAATTAAATATTTGCTTCGAAAAAACAAAACATGGTTAAAATACTATTATGCACGATTCACTGCAGCACTTAATTTTCAATATTCATATTTTTCTTTCATTCTGACTAAAATCACACAATTTTAGTATTTATGAAAAGTTTAGAGTACGAAAACTATAAATAAAATACAGAGGTGCTAAAAAAATAAAAAAGGTGGTGAGAGTGCTACTGCAATAATAACTCTTTCTTTGCATACATATATGTTCTTCTTTTAGTTTCTATGTTTAGATGTCATCCAAAGGAATTCTAATTTAGAATTTAGAATACTAACTTTCTAGTTACAAAACTCCTCTTCTTCCTCTTATCTCTTTTTCTGTTCCATTCTCTTCTTAGAGTTTTATAGTTTTTTTTTTTCGCCCAAACCATAATAATTATATATATGTATGAGGTTGTCTTTTCCATAATTATAAGAAGACTTATAACTTATACTAAACTACAAAATAAGCTATAAAATATTAGTACAATCTCTCTTTAGTCCATGACTAATTGATAATTATTTAGTTTACTGACCTTGCTATTACTTACAATATATTCATGTCTCATGGAGCTCAACTAATAATTGAGGAAGACGAGAAAATAGTTCTATGTACTCAGGAGCACTTCTCCTCCATCATTTCATAAGCAAAAATTATGTTGTTACTTTTTATCTCTTAATATATGGCTACAAGCAAAATAATTTTTTGTACAAAAGATTATATCTTACCAAGAATAATTTATCATGTCATCATTTTTTCACAAAGTTAATCCTCATATTTACAATCATATAAGTATTCATTAATACATTCTCCATGGGATATTCTTAGAAATATACCATAAACCCATTCTGTGACATGTATTTGAAATTTTTTTTTTGAATTGCTTTAGAAATGGTTTGGTCTTAACCGATCATTATTATTTTTAGTGGTTAATCACCCATTAATTTTATTATATAAATAATAAATTATACCATTTCTTACAAGTTTAAATTTTTAAGATAATTGGTTCAGTTTATTACTTAAATTAATATCAAAGTTAACGTTTAAACTTTGGGAATATCATCTTCCTATGACTTGTTCACTCATTCTTTTACTTGTTGGCAGACTTATAAGTCTTTTTTGAGTTTAAGTACCCATCCTAAACTTAAAACCTATAACTTTGACATAAAAGTAATAAATTATATTTTTCTTGTGCAACTCAATATCTAGAGATAATTGATTCAAAAACCAATTCAAAAAATTCAACGGTCAAGAAAATGATGTATCAAACTTATTAGGTGACAATTATTAGATTTTTTCTAATATGTGGACTTAATGTAAATCTTGGTATGTGTATCAGTGTAACAACCTCAAAAATTTCAAATGAAGATAAATTATAAATTTAGTTCGGAAACGAAATAAATAGTTAGGGTTTATATTCCTTACACAATAACTGAAAGTACCAAATATGACTTACGAGAATAACCCTCCTAAAAGAACAACTAATAACCAAGAAAATGAATTAAAAGTACAAAACTGAACGTCCTACTTGCAATTCTCTTATGGACCGGGCTCTGGATCTTGGTACTCTTGATCTAAAATGGTTAATGAAAGAATGAGGTACAATAACCCAGTAAAAATATCACGCTACTTACCGACACAGAAATGAAGGTTGGTAGAAGTTATAAAAATAACTAATGGAGCTTTAAATTAAGCAAAATCGTTTATCATAAATAAAATCATTTACCGTTTACTTACCGTAGCAAAATTTACA